CTTCGACAACTTTTTTCATGCGCAGATTGACTAGGCTTTGGGGCTTTGACATTGCAAACTAAAGTATGTCGTTATTCAAAAAAACAAGCAAGATGTTTGTCGTTGAAATCTATTGAATATGGAAAGTATACGTCGCAAACTGAAGCATGCCCGAAAACTCTATGACATGATAGATTTTCCACTTCACAAAGCAGTGTGAAGACATTTTGATAAATAATCCGTGTATCTCTTCAGCTTGCATCATGGAGCAGCATACCATGGATATCATTGTGGCTGGCACATGGTTTGCAATATTAATCTATGCAGTGATCGCAAATATTCTACTAGCTATACTTATCGTTAGTAGCACCGAAACACGTACACTTACCAGGTAGGAGCCAGCCTATCTTCTATCTTTATTAATAGGTAATTCAGCTACTGGATTGTTGGTTCCTTCTCCCTTAGTGAAGTAGGCATGGCAATGACTGCTTTATGTCATGTAATACCATTCATTTTACTACATGAGTCATTTTCCAAAAATGAGTCGACTAGTGATTTCTTGATGCTATCAGGCTATCACTCATTCTGGGCTATATCCCTAATGCACTTAGTTCTAATGGCCTTGAACAGGTTAGCAATAAGGCATACTCCGCTTTTCTTGCCGCTAATAAGCTGTCTTTCAGAGTTGCATGTATTCTCTATCCCACATATTACTCAACAATCTTCTCTAAAACAAACACTATCTGTCTATTACTACTTTGCTACTTTTTGGGGCCTATACTTTCCATTCCTACTCTTTTTCCTTGTTGCTATATACTTCTGGATTCGTATAATTATGTATCTTATTACGTTGACCAAGAATCATGGTAGGCACGAACGTAGGACCGCATGCATACGCACCCTGCGGCAGGGGGAGCGATGTTTCCGATGATGAAAAGGCGGCAGCGGCATCCGCACGGGACCCATTTATAATGGCGGACGTTCCCCTTGCGGCAGGGATTTTAGTGCATATAGGACTTAAACTTGTGTTTCCAAAATAAGGATAGTAGAAAGAGCTAGCTTGGGTGGACCGGAATGGGTAGTATTGTAAGGCCCGCAAAAATCAAACCTATTTTCCTCTGTCCTCAGTTCGATCGGCTACGGGCCGCTCGCCCTCTGCCAAAGTGGCACGTCGCTGCAGTAGAGGGGTGAAGGTGGCAGCAGATA